CTATGGAAATGAAATCAAATCCCAGCTTTTAGGGGAAATGATTTAGACTGCGCAGCTGGCCGCTGGGGTTGATAGTTTTGACTCTCACCCCGCGGTTGTAAACGGCGATCAGCGGGCTTTTTGCTACTGATTACACAACAGTCCCAGTCGGGAGGAGGGGGAAGGCTAAGATCCCGTCAACGCAGCCTCCAGCCCCTCGCGCTTCGGCTGCTCCAGGAGCCCCGATGATGGAAAACTCTGTTGTTGTTGTTGTTTTCTTTTCAATCGCAGTGACCTGGATTGCTCACCGTCTCTTAGACGGTGTGTCAAGAGGAGACCAACATGTTGCCTCACAGAGTCCTTAGGAGCCCCGCGCAGAGCCTCGTGAGTCACTCCAGGGTTTTGGGAGATGAATGGCCGGTGAGCCGGCTTCTCAGGAAGATTAGCCACAAGTCGTGGCTGCGCTTGCCGGGCCGGCCGGTGCAGAACTGACTCACGTGGGCCAGGAAGCAGGCAGAGAGCCTGACAACAGCTCGGAAGGCCCCGGCCCCGCTGTCTTCCCATGTGCGGGGCGGGGGGCGGGGGAGGGGGTGCGTCTCCCCATTTGGTCATTTCTGTTGGTTGTTGAATAAGGTGGACAGTATTTAAATGGGGACATTTTATACATAGGTATATATCAGTGCATATGCTCATCTCTCTGTCCCTTTCCCCCTCTCTATATACGTACACACACACACACACACACACACACACACACACACACAGAGTATGTAGCTATACGTTGCATACCCTATAGATACAGTATAATGAGTGGGAAGAAACTGATGGTTTTCAGATTTTTAACGCCGGAGAGACTTCTTTATGGTGAAATATCGGCATACGTAGAAGAATGTGCAAAGAACCAAAAAAGCAGGGCTCCGTGAAGGATCCCAAAGTCAGGTAAAGCCTCCGTGACCCTCCCACAGCAGCTCCTGCGGGAATCCTTCCCCAGGGCCTTGAGAAAAAGAAACACCTCCTATTGAGGGAGGTGTGCTTAGGTGGTAATTATGACCAGGAAGTCGTTACAGCCACAGATGGGTGGTGGAAAGCAGGAAAGTGGGGGGGGGGGGGTAACTCAGGGTGGGGGAGGGGCTCAGGCAGCCAGGACCTTGCCGGCCCCCAGAATTGCCCCTGTGTCCCCCGCCCCAGATGTCTCCATGGTGCTCTGGCCAGCAGTGCTGTGTCCCCGTTCATGGCTACAGAGTATTGCACTGTATGAAAGCACCACAACGTATCTGTTCCGTGAATGCCCTTTTGGGTTGTTTGAAGTTTGGCTCTGTTACAAACAGATGGCCGTGAACGTCAATGCCTTCTCTCCACCCCAGCGAGGGTGCGCTGTCTACCCAATTTCCAGCCCTGCCTACCAGACCTTTTCCTCCCCAGAAGGCATATGCCTGATGCAATTCGTAGGGATCAGCCTATGATCTCAGTGTCCACAAAAGGCCCGGTCTTTGCTTGGGCAGTTTCTTATCTGGATGACCAACCCCAACGTCCCCCCCTCCCCCTTTTCTCCTCCAGATCTTGTGAATCCTCTTACCCTGCCATACCCCACATCCTCCAGGAAGCCTTCCAGGGTTGCCCCAACCCTGTGCCTCCTCTGTCCTGTGCTCTCAGTGCCCTGAATCCGTATCTTGACTCCTAGTCCCCACTCTGTGTGTGGTAGAACAGGTATGTATTCACAGAAATTCACAGAAAGCCTCAAGCTTTCTGGACGGCACTTTGTTTCCTTTCTTTCAAAGGTAAATATGCTCACACTCCCTGGCTGGGCACTCCCGTTCCTGGAAACTGTCCTCCAGAAATGCTATCCAGAGTGCTTTAAGATGAATGGACCAGAATGTTCGTTCCAGTGCTGAGTGGAAGCACACAGCACTGCAAGTCGTCTAAACGTCTATGGGTAAGAGAACAGTGGCACATGTGTTCGATAGAATATTCCGCAGCCATTACAGATCTGACGAAAAGACGTGCAGGGAATATAGTTAATGGGAAAGCCAGTTGTGGTACGTGATTCATGCCCCACAACCAGGGAGGACACATGTTGGCTGTGTTCACTTTGCCTTCAGAAAGTAGGGTTGGCAGGTGGGGGACCTCCCACTGCTTCCTCTATGGGGTCTGTGTTGTTCCAACTGTCTGGTAAGCCTGAAGTTGCTTTTGTAATTAAAAAAATAGTAATAATATATTTAAAAATGTTTTTATTTATTTTTGAGAGAGAGAGAGAGAGACAGCACAATCTTGGGAGGGACAGAGACAGAGGGGGACAGAGGATCTGAAAGGGTCTCTGAGCTGTCAACACAGAGCTCAACACAGGACTTGAACTCACAAACCATGAGATTGGGACCTGAGCCGAAGTCAGAGGCTCAACCGGCTGAAGGCAACCAGGTGCCCCCCCAATAATACATTTTTAAATGAAGACATAAAACTATCAAAACTCGTAGAATGTACACCAAGTGTGAACCCTAATGTAAACTATGGACCGTAGTTAATAATAACATATCAAAATTGATTCATCAATTGCAACAAAGAGACCTCACTAATGAAGATGTTAGTAATGGGGGACACTGTGCCCCGGGGTGTATAGGAATTCTATACATCTATGTGATTTCTCTGTAAACCTAAAACTTCTAAAATATAGTTTCTTGGGGCCCCTGGGTGGCTCAGTCAGCTGAGTGTCCGACTTCAGCTCAGGTCCTGATCTCGCGGTTTGTGGGTTCGAGCCCCGCGTCGGGCTCTGCGCTGACAGCTCAGAGCCTGGAGCCTGCTTCGGATTCTGTGTCCCCCTCTCTCTCCCTGCCTCTCCCCCACTTGTTCTCTGTCTCTCTCTCAAAAGTAAATAAAATGTAAAAAAAAATTTTTTTTAATTAAAAAAATAAAATATAGTTTCTTTCAGAAAGAAAGAAAGAAAGAAAAGAAGGAAAGGGAGGAAGGAAGGAAAGGGAAGGAGGGAGGAAAGGAAAGAGAAAGAAAGAAAGAAAGAAAGAAAGAAAGAAAGAAAGAAACCAATTAGTGGATACTTGGAATAGAGCCAGGATTGACCGACAAGCTTTTTTTCTGTTTGGGGCCAGACAGTGAGTAATTCGGGCTTTGGAAGTCACGGCTACTCAGATTTGCTATCGTCCTGCAAAAGCAGCCAGGGGCAATACGTGAGTGAGTGAGCAAGCCAGCCGCTGTGTTCCAATAAAACTTTATTCACAAAAGCGGGCGGCGGGCCGGAGCTGGAGCCTGCGGCCCCCAGCGCGGAAACAGAAAAGGGTCCTCACGGTCAGAGGAAGAGGAGGAGGCTGAGGGGCTGCCCACTCACCCCGGACGGGCGGCAAAACCAGGTTCTTGGCCGTCGCACGCGGCCCTTCCCAGGATCGGAATGGATTCCAAAGACTGATTTCGTGTCAGTTCATTTTCGCGCGGCCTGACCCCGAAGAGCGGAGGGTCACCGGTAGCTGGAGACCCGGGGAGAGCCGGGGCTGGCCATCCAGCTGGAGGAGCTTCTCCGACGACAGCCTGCCTGCTTCCTCAGCTCCGGGGCTCCTGCACACGCAGCCCCACGGCCCCCACGCACCCCTGCCTCTGCACCTGCTGTCTTTCTCCGAGAAGCTCGCAAGCGCGGTTGCCAAGGTCAGCTGAAAGATGACAAAGGGAAATCACGCGACGTTCTTTCGGCAAGTTGTGAGGTTGTGGTGGGCGGAGAGGAGAACGGTGGCCGTGCTCACCCCGAGCCGTGCGGCCCTGCCCCGGAGTGGGACGGCGAATGAACAGACACGGCCACGCAGGGAATTTGTCCCCTCTGGCCGGAAGGGCCCGATGCGCTGGAGGTGCGGCCGCTGACCCCGCGTCGTGCCTTCGGCAGCCCTGTGAGTTAGGATAAGAGTCCCATTTTGCAGATGGAGGCACATGAGGCTCCAAGCCACTTTTCGAGAAACGATACCTTTAAAATGGCCGAAGGCTGAGGGGCGCCTGGGTGGCTCAGTCGGTTAAGCGTCCCACTTGGGCTCCAGTTATGGTCTCACAGTTCGTGAGAGCCTGCGTCGGGCTCTGGGCTGACAGTGGGGAGCTTGCTTGGGATTCTCTCTCTCCCTCTCTCTCCCTCTCTCTCTCTCTGCCCTTCCCCTGCATGCTCTCTCTCCCTAAATAAATAAATAAGCTTTACAATAAAATACAACAACTGAGTACAATGAAACTGCTGAAGGCTGGAGCTGACCCAATCCACGGCCCCCACGTTTCACCACCTTGAGCCCCAAGCCCTGTGAGACCCTGTCCGGCATCACGTTACGTCAACCTCAGGAAGGTGCTTTTGCGGTTTCGTCAGACTCAGGCAGTGACACTGGCCGATGTTTCCAGGTTATATTCTGGGGCGGGGCTTTGGCAAAGCTCCCAGGTGACAGGAGCCAAGTCTGCCCGTCCCCGTCGCCTTCTTCTTCCTCTCCTGGTGCCTTTGCCTGCGTCCACGTGCGTGTTACACCAGCCGTGACTTAGGAGGTCACCACCCCACGGGCGGGCCTGATTCAGCACCACCGAGAGACAGCACTGAAGCTGCCCACGCCCGCTGGGCCATGAGGAAGACCAGAGAGGGCCTCTCCCCGGTCCCGACTCACACCCGACGTGCCAGGAAGGGCCGCTCCGGAGGGGGGCTGATGGTGGAAGGCTCACCGTCACCTGTGCCCACCCAGCCCGCCATTGCTGTCTCTCGGACGGCCACCCTCTGAGAGCACTGGACCCGGTGCCGCAACGCCCGTCCCAACCAGGCAGCGTGGGCAGCAGCTCCCGACGCGGAGCGATCACTGCACCCACGCTCGGCTCTCGTCTGCTGCACAGAATGAACATGTCTAGCACCTGCTTCTCTCGTCTCCACTCTGCCACGTGGGCGCTGGGTCGAACAGCATCCGCCCAGAACTCCTGTCCATCCAGAACCCAGGGACGTGTCCTTGATTGGAAAGTAGGGTGCTTGCAGAGGTAAGCAGTTAAATTCACATGAGGTCATAGAGCATCAAGGTCGGCCCTAACTCCAATATGGCTGGTTTCCTTATAAAAAGAGGAGAGAGGGGTGCCTGGGTGGCTCAGTTGGATAAGCGTCCGACTTCGGCTCAGGTCATGATCTCACGGTTCGTGGGTTCAAGCCCCGCGTAGGGCTCTGGGCTGACGGCTCAGAGCCTGGAGCCTGCTTCGGATTCTGTGTCTCCCTCTCTCTGCCCCTCCCCCACCCATGCTCCGTCTCTCTCTGTCTCTCAAAAGTAAATAAATGTTAAAAAAATTTTTTTTTAAAGAGGAGAAGACACACACACACACACACACACACACACACACAGAGGGAAGCCAGCCTTGTGACAGTGGAGGCATCATTCCAAGGGTGCATATTCAAGCCAAATTTCCCCAAAGGCTGCCAGAGCCTCCAGGAGCTGGGTGCCGCGGGAAAGGTCCTCCCGGACCCTCAGAGGGGAGCACGGCCTTGCCCACACCTCGATTTCAGAGCTCACGGTGAGCTCTGCACGGTGAGAGAGGAAACTTCCGTGGATCAACCCCCCCACCCCCCCAGCTAGATAAATGGACAGGGTCTCAGCCACGGTGGGAGGCTTTGCCACCCCTGGGGAAAAAAATCTGCTGACCCAGAAGGCCAGCCGGGTATGTTCAGGAGAAACTCCTTCCCAGCTGCACCGGGGGCCGCAGCTTTCTGTCCCAGCTCCTGTGGCCCCCCGCTGTCCTCACAGACTCCTGTGCTTCTCTGTCGCTCCCGGAGCGAGCCCCGCGTGGGGGAGGTCCCGTGGCATTTAGGCATCCCCGTGTCACCAGCCCCTGGAATAACGCCCTGCGTGCACCATTAAAAATAAAAAACAGTTGTGCTTCCTTACCACACGAGGTAGAAAGATCTGGGACGTTTTCCCCGTCTGCACAAATTAACCTCATTCTTCCAGGGGGCTGCGCCCTGTCCCATTGTGCAGCTGTGCTGTAATTTATGCAATTCAACCTTTGCTGATAAACTTGTGGGCTGTTTTCAGACTTGGCTCTTACACACGTGTTGCAATAAATATCCAGCGTGCATATTTTCGTGTCCTTGGGTAGGTGGACACACTTCCAGAAGCTGGGTCGACGTGTATGGAAGGCTCCGGCTTACATTCTGTCCACGGGTGTACGAGCGTGTGATTCTGCCCACATACTCACCAGAAATGCTGTCACACTTCCAAATCTTTATTACTTTTCATATTATCTATTTTTGAGAGAGAGAAGGAGTGAGCAGGGAGGGGCAGAGAGAGAGAGAGAATCCCAAGCAAGCCCCACACCGTCAGCACAGAGCCCGATGTGGGCTTGAACTCAGGAACCGTGAGATCATGACCCGAGCCGAAATCAAGAGTCGGATGCTTTGCCGATGGAGCCCCCAGACGCCCCCAAATCTTCATTTGCAAGGCTTTCGGCACACGGTCTTAGAACCAGGTTGGCCTTGGGGTGTCGTCTGGATTGTGTGCTTTCTTTCTGATGTTCACGAGTGTACGTGTGTACCCGTGTGTGTGTCCGTGTGCGTGCACGTGCGCTTATATGTTTTCATGTGTCGTGATGCATTCACATGATCGGGTCGTCTGAGCGACCGCTTTAAATCGTCTGACACCAAGGGGCTCCCGGGGGGCTCAGTCGTCGAAGAGTCCAACTTCAGCTCATGTTACGTTCTTGGGGTTTGTGGATTCGATTGGAGCCCCGCGTCGGGCTCTGTGCTGACGGCTCAGAGCCTGGAGCCTGCTTCGGGTACTGTGTTTCCCTCTCTCTCTGCTCCTGCCCCGCCCCCCCCCGCCCCAAAGTAAATAACATTAAAAAAATTTTTTTAAATGCTATGTGAACATTTAAAAAAAATTGCCACCACACGACCTTGTTACCTACTTACATGGGTTTTATAATCATAATTACGCTGGCATCTGGTCCCAGTGAATGAATGAAGGCTTTCTAGCTTTCTATGTAGAACAAGCCCATGTCACCCGTGACGCAGACCCGCAGAGGAGTCTGACGGCCGAGGGCTCGCCCTGGACTGTAGCATCCAAGACGGTCCTCCTTCGGGGGGGCAGGGAGACTGTGGGGGGTCTCTCCTTGTAGAAACTCCAGCAGTCCATCAGCGGTAAGTACAGTAGGGAAAAAAAACCCAACAACAACAAAAAGACCCCACGGTGTAGACTTTCTCATTGCAAGTTAATTTCTCATTGCAAATTAATTACATTTTGGGGTACTCTGATGCTTTTAGGATCGTCACAATAGGGGACTGGAAGTTAGGCGGACTTCGTTGTTTAAAAAGAGAAGTAATAGTTTGGGAGCACCTGAGTGGCTCGGTTGGTTACGCTCCTAATGCTTGGTTTCTGCTCAGGTTATGATCTCGCAGTCGGAGATTGGGCCCCACATCGGGCTCTGTGCTGACTGTGCAAAGCCTGCTTGGGATTCTGTGTCTCCCTCTCTCTCTGCCCCTCCCCTGCTCATGAGTGCATGCTCTCTCTCTCTCTCTCTCGCTCTCAAAAATAAATAAATAAAGAGAGAGAGAGAGAGAGCATGCACTCATGAGCAGGGGAGGGGCAGA